TACAAGATGTATATTATACACAATTCATCTAATAATTTAATTAATAAAATTGTTAATGATTTATCAATTGAATTCCCAGCATGTATTAAATTCTGTAATATCAAACAAAGAACTGTAAAACACTTTTTTACAATACGATCATATTCAACAGTTAATTTTTCTGTTAACTCCAAAAAAAAGAAAAATATGTATGGCACAGCGTCTGCCAAAAAATGGAAATAAATAATATAAGAATTTAAAAACGAGACATATTTTAATTGTTTAACTGTAATTTTTCTAAAACTTTGTTTTTTGTTGTAGTTTGGATTAGTATTAAGTATAAAGTGTTTTGTTATTTATTTATTTTTTTTGTTGTTATTATATATTATGTCAAGGGTTGCTAACACTGTGTTTGAAATAATAAAATTAAAAAATAAATACATTTTAAAAATAGTTGTTTTATTTTGCACAGCTTAATTTATTTATTGAATCATCATTTACCACAATATTCATAGTTACCAAATAGGTATATAAATTTAAAATACATACATATTTAAATATAAAATCGTTTATGATGCTGTCCCAAAAAGCAAGCTTGTGATAATGGATGAGTTAAAAGTACAATTTACATGATTAGTTATAACTTATAATATTTTAATAATACTAAACTATATGAAAGTCTAAAATTAATGAAGAGAAAAAATAAAAAACAAATTTAAAAATAAATGTTAGATACAATATAACGCATATAAAACTAAATTTCTAAACTATTTAGATCTACAATATTTATGTAGTTCAAAAATTGTTTTTTTTTTATTTTGGAAAGTCGATACATCAATATTTAAACTTATAAGGAAATTAATAACTAAAATCAGTGAATCATACTTTTTTAATATATATTTTTATGTATTTAGTAGATAAAATGTAAGAATTTTAGAATCTGTAAGAAAAATATGGCTGGTACCTACAAAGTTAATAAAGAATTTGGAAATCGTTCTAAGCTTGCGCATATGATCCATATATGAGGCATTTCCTATATATTTGTTGACAATATTCTATGAATTATGGCCTTACCTAATATTTCATAAAGTAAAAAAATTATATATAAATGTTAAGGATACAATTCAAAATTTTACTTACCTAATTTTAATAAATTTGTATAAAATTGTTTTGTTAAAAAAATTTGTTTCAAAAAAAACTAACGAATTATTTAACTTAACGTTGTAACTTAATTTTTTTAACTCGTTAATGCTCAGCCTTGCTTTTTGGTCGCTTTTATGATTAAAATTACTTAATCACTCTTTTTATTATCTTTAACCACTTCCAGCCCTGGTAATATCATCTAATGTTTCACAAACTATTTGTAATTTTGTTTCCAATAATTTCTTTTCTCTTTGTAACAACAATAAGTTATATTTGTTCCTCTCTTATACTTTCGAATAAACAGTATTGCCAGCTTCGTTAACACCCAACTGCTAAACAAAATACAAAAACAAATAAATATAATTACATTGATATCAAACTTAAAAATATTTCTGTTTATTAAAGTTTATACCTGTAAACTCCTTTTCAAAGTAGTATTTTCTTGTTGGACTAAAAAAAGTTTTTGTCTTTCTTTTAGTAATGTTGAACCATTTACAAAATCAGAATCTTTCGGTTCACAATTTCCATTATTGGTTAAATCCATTATTTATTTAACTACCTATAGTGGAATTTCAATATTAAAACTGATCAAATAAAATACTAGTATTTACAATCAATGATTTTACTTAGTTAAGTAATAATATAAAATATTTAATTTACAAATTTCCGTCCAAACAACGTTACTCAATGGTCCAAAACTCAAAATTCGGGATAATCAAGTTTTGATAAGAGTAGTTTAGATAACTTGTGTCGCAAAATGGCGGATGATCATACCCACTTCTTTAGTGCCTTAGTTCACCACTACACGTTCGGTGATACGAATGACGTTTATTTTATTCCTTATTGACAGTATTATATTATAATATAAAATTTATAAAATATGTTTAAGTATAATAATAATATGTCTGACGTGTGTCCAGGCCCACCCTAGGGAGAACACATTATATCGACAAAAATGTTCTGATGAACTCAAGACTAATGCATTTAAATTTGATAAACAAAAAGAAATACATGTATAATTATTGCAAAAATATTAAAGAAAAAATATTGGACAATTTTGATCTCTGAAAACCTCTCATAAATGTTATTTTATACTAGTTTGAAAAATATTAATTTTTAAATATATAAAAGAAAAAACATTTTCTATACAGTATGTAATTAAAAGTGTACCTAGTAATAATAAATTGAAATAAAAACTATATTTTATTCTTAATATCAAAATGTAAAATATATATAAAAAAAAAAAAACAAAATATAACTACTGTTATTATAATAAAATTAAAAATTTAAATACTATTATAAATTCAACAAGTTATAAAAGATATTAAGATAGTGATATTTGCGCAGGGTATTATGTTATATTGTGGGTATAAACTATAAACAGTTAATACCTAATCAACTAAAACTTATCAACTTATAATCAGTGATTGAAATGACATAGGTACCTAGCCAAGTTTTTTGTATGAATATTCCAGACATATTATTCATGTTAGAATGTTAGATCATAATAAAATATTTATTGTATGTAATATTAATATAGGACTTCTTATAATTGAGCACTTAAAAACCCTTACGCTAAAAACACATTTAAGTATCAAAAGTGTTTTAATTATGATACTTAAAACTAATATTTTTCCATATCAAAAAGATAACCTAATGGTTTCTAAAACAATTTTTAAAAAATTGGACATAACTTTTGGCCATTCACTTCTCAGCCATCGATAAAATATTTGCATATTATATTATTAGTACTTAGTTCACAATGACTTGATCACTTATTTTATTACTTAGTATTGAAAAAATAAAATGTACCTACCTAAATCAACATTTAAAATATAAATATTTTTAATTACCTGTGTGCTCACTGCTCAGTGTTGTAACCTGTATAATATTTTCAACGGTATTTTCAATAGTACGACACACGGAAAACAGACAACAGTCATACACTCATACGCTGGAATATAAAATATGTAATAATAACATAATAATAATATAGTGATTCGTTCGATATAACATACCGTCTATTAATTTCGGTCGCCGTCGGCCGTCGTGGCGTCGGAGCGACACGACGGTTCTGGGAAATACGGATAATTTAAGAATTATATCAATATATTTTTGTTACCCATCAGATATTGCATTTGTATTTCGTAATCGTATACTCGTGTCTCGTATTGCATAATATGCATTATAGAACTAATAGTGAATAATAACTCCTTTTTTTTCGACAACATTTATTAGATAAAACCAGACCGGACTGGACCAGACCGTGATTCTAAAACTTATACAGAAAAAGACCGATTTAATATTTTTAAATTTTGGACCGATCCGAACCAGACCAATGTGTTTAATACTTAGCCTAACCAAAAAAAACCATTAACATTGGAAATCAGACTGCAATGGACTGGACTTCAATGGCGTTTAATGTAAAAGACCGATTTAGACCGGACCGCGGTCCGGTCCGGTTCAGTCCAGACCGGTCCGAACCAGACCATGCAGAGCTCTAGTAAGGTGTAAGGTTTAAAAAAGTTCCATTTCATCCGCATATTTTCATTTTTTTTACAAATTTTGTATTTTGTTCTGATACTGTAATAGATTTATTAGCAGCTCTTCTGTGCCCATCTCTCAGACTAGTCCAAATTTGTTTGCAATTTTGTACTAAAAAATAATAATATTAAACTTTAATGAATGAAATAGGTACTATTTTTTTTTAAATTTTAACTGGTGTTGACCAACAAAAAAAATTGTTATTTTATATTTAAATTTCAAAAATACCTGGTTGGTTGATTTCATTGGCAATTTCTCTCCACAGCGATTCTTTACAATGATGGTCACTATATTTTTTTTCACACATATCGTATAACGATTACCTAACTAATTCAATGAACATTTCTGTATTCATTTTATATACTTAAAATTACTTAATTTTGTATTAAATCTCAAATGTGTACACCTCAGACACTCAGTACGTTATTTTGATTATGAACTTATGCCATTCATTACTAAAAAACCCTTTTACATCGTCGATCGTCGTCGATTTGACATGCCAGAGCATATCGCTGCTGTAAAGCCCGATTCACACTGTTACGGCACGGCACGGAACGTCACAGCACGTAACGGCACAACAATATATTATATTATTAGTTTTTATGAGGTAATTCACATTGATACGAACGACACCGCACCGTCACGTTACAGCACAGACCGGACCGACCGACCATCATCCGAAAGAATGTTTTGACGGTCCGGATCGTGCTGGTTCGTGTCGGTACGTCCAGTGTCGGTGCAGTGTGAACACAGAACCGGCAAGCAAATAAAATAAAAAAAAAATTTGATTATTTTTATTATTTTAATTTATATAATTAATTACGTTTATTAGAAATAAAATAAAAAATCGATTTTGTTGAACACTGGTTTTGCGTATTCCAGTTGTTTTTTTGTTTTCCCAATTATTACGAAAAGTACTATGCTTCTGTGCATTTTTTAGTTTCGACCACGTACAATATAGATATTTTATATTTCTACCAGATAAAATATTAAAGCACTTTTTTTTGATAAAAAAATCGTCATCAGACAAAAAAAAACACATCTCTGTAAAATAAAGACATTCATCCCTCAGCTTAGAATCTAAAATATTTTAATGTAGGTAGGTAACAAATGTACAAAAACAAAAATTATCTCTTATCTTTTTAAATTTATTTAAATATAAATGACAATTTAAAAACAGGTATAGCTATACATAATTCTAATTTAATTAAAAAAGGGTTAAATCACTTTCAAATTATAAGAAGTTACTATGGTAAATAAAGTTATAGTAATAATTAGTAACTGATTATAAATAATATTTTGATTTAATAAAATATAATATCAAAATTAAAACATTTGTTTTTTGTCAACTTAATTACGAAAACCAAATATTAAAAACAAAGTAGTTATATACTAGCGAACTATTTTCATTAGGTATTAATTTTTTTTAAAAGATTTAGATATTTAGAAAATATTAAAGAAAAGTTACATACTCTAATCACTGGGTTTTGTGTACTTATAATAATTATTATTTGCAGGATAATCGTACATATTGAACTGATTTGGACCTGCTGCAGTGTTCGTAATATTTAAATGATCAGGATTTTCTGTGGAATTTGTGGTTTGTGATCTAGCGTGTTGAACGTTTGGCAAATGATTTAATTGAAGTATGGTAGGAACGGTTTGTGTTTGCATTTCTGGTAGTTGTTGCAATGAGCCCTGATTAGAAATAGTTGATTGTGGTTGTGTTTGGTTTTGTCGCAGTTGTTGTAATTCTAGTTCAGATATAATTTGAAAAACTTTAGTTTTCGCTATATGTTGAAAGTACGGTGAAAACTGTTTGGCCGTTTAACACATTGACGAAAATAATTGGTCCATAGCATCTGACTTGCTTGTTGTTGGGTTTGATTGTTCAGATTTTTTTTGTTCAATGATATATTTCATAAGAGTAGATGATGCAGTCTCAGGTGGTTTCAATGAATTGGTTTTTTTAATTTTTTTTTGTCTTGGTTGAACTGGAGCGGGTGTATTAAATTATGCCTCTGCGTTTTGAATAGTATTTTCAAATGAGACAGAATTCTCACCTTCCACTTGAATTTCCTCATCATCTGAATGAGATAGAACTTCATCGTCGTCATCAGTTACCACATCAATATTACTAATGGAATCCCTTTCCTTCATATTAGGTTTTAAAAATTCCATTTCATCCGCATACTTCCATTTCTTTATATATTTTGTTTTTTGTCCTGACACTGTAATGGATTTTTTAGCAGCTCTTCTGTACCCATCTCTCAGACTGGTCCAAATTTTTTTGCAATTTTGAACTAAAAAAAAAAAAAATTAACTTTGATGAATGAATTAGGTGCAATTTTTTTTTTAGATTTTGACTGGTTTTGACCAAAAAATAAAATGGTTATTTTATGTTTAAATTGTAAACATACCTGGTTGATTGATTTCGCTGGCAATTTCTCTCCACAGCGATTCTTTATGAGGATGGTCACTATATTTTTTATCGCTCATATCGTATAACGACGATCGTTCCCGAACTAATTCAATCAGCATTTCGGTATTCATTTTATTATTGAAACCACAAGTTACTTTTAATTGAAATACCTATCAAATGTGTACGACTCAGTACGTTGTGATTGTGACTATGAACTTGTACAGTTCAATACCGAAATAAAAACACCAACGACACCGTCGTCGATTTGACATGCGAGCGCGTGTCGCTGCTGTAATTTGTCCTGCAGGAACACGTAATATATATTTGTTCTTCTGGTTCGAAGCTATAAAAGAAAATTAGAGTAATATTAATTAGGAATATTTCAATCGTATACAAGGTAGTGTAACAGATAAGCTGGCCACACACGGAGCGGTTTAGCCGCGCGCGGTCGCGGTTCCTATCTGCATCAGTGTCCGCGACCGCTTCCAAACTTAACTTACACACGAGGCGGATTGACCAAGCGCGGACGCGGATTTCGACCGCTATCACGTCCGCGTCCGTATCCGCTGTTTGTTTACACACGAGGCGGATTATGAATGCTGTTATGAATGAAAAAACCGCCATAAATCCGCAGCCGTTGATGGACGAACCGCTTCGTGTGAATATGGCTATTGGAAATCCATAGTTTAATTTTAGCTGGCGGACGCGGTCGACCGCCCGAAAATTGAGCAAGCGCTATTCGAGGCGGACGATTCGACGACGCTAGTAGTTTTACTTCGTTTAAATATACCCATTTAAATATAGGTGTTTAACCTGACCAAAAAAAAACTTATGCTACTTTACCCTAGGACAACATTTTTTTTTAACATTTTAATAGTAAATAATTTAAGAAATATGCCCATGTCCGCAAATTTCTAAAATTATATTTTGAAAAAAGTTATTACGTTCCAAATGAATTTAATCAAAATAAATATTGAAATTTAAAAAAAATTCTAAAAAATAAACTACTCGTCTTAGATACATGTTTTTAACGTAAAATTTTTTCTTATAATTAGATTCACAAATTGGCTAACTTATCCCAAAAAAATGTAGTTAAATAAAAAATCTTTTAAATTCAGTATTAAAAAAAAAATAATAATTTTTTTGTATCATACATAAATTACTATAATAAAATACTATAAATTATATATATATATGAAAAAAAAATATTCATTATAACAAAAGTTATTGCATTAGTCAGTTCTTTCTGTTGCACCCTGTATTATAAAGTGTCATAATATCAGAGTAGAGAGGAGTTAAAATTCATAATGAATTGTTTGCGATATTTAAACCAGAATATCAATATGTAGGTTTAATACAAAATCGTAAACAATAGGTATACATCGTTCTCAGACACACAAATACTCCACTGCACGGAGACTATATGTCCGGATCCGGAATTCCAATCTATACAGCATGAATAGATTACACAACCTTGTGAGATTTCTTTATTTAAAAATCCAGATACCTTACAGCAAAATTGAGGAACAGGAAAAGTCATTTGAACAAAAAATATTTCTTACAAGTTATAGTATGCGGACACTTAGGTATTCACAGCCAAAGGTGAAACATCAACAGTTACTTGTCGGGGAAGGAAAGAGCTGTACATAGTAAAAATTAGGATAATTTTCAAATTATTAAAATTCAATTTTTTAAGCTGAAATTGATGAAGTAAAAACTATCTTCATAGCGCTCTGTCCCTAGAAAAGTACACCAACTTAGTTATCACAATAGATATCTCTAGAAACAAATTGCTGACCAACTAAAATAATAAAACAATTTTATAAACATCCTTAAACAGCTTTTTTTGCTAAATCGTATAGTAACCCAAGATATTTGTTTTGAATTAAGGGAATGTATTAGTTTTCTCATATCTGCATTCTATGCACCATCAACCGGACCAACTTGGGGCATTTTTAAAACTATATTGTAAATAACATTAAGATAATTAATCTAGATGTATTTTCAATGTAATATTTTGTTTTAGTTGAGGTTTAGTTTATTAATTTCTTTTATATTTTAACCATTCAAATAATTCATTCTATGTTTTTTTTTCATTTTTTGCTTGCCCCATGTTGTACTGAATATCGACAAAATAAAAAATAAAAATGAACACACCATAGTTAATTAGAAACTTGTCAATGATTTTATTTGTAATTAACTGTCACCATAGGGGGGCAAATTTCATAATAATAATTCTCGGTTCATAATGATTAATTATGTGTTGTGTAATGTACATGTGCATTATGCACCTTGCAGACCGTACGCCCGGTCCATTAAAATCTTAAGGTTAGGCCAAAATACTGATAGTTTTCGCTCTCCATAATTTCCAGTGGTGTAGTTTTAAATATTTTTCTGGGTATACACCTAAATTGAGAAATATTTAATACGTGGGGGGCTCTGCCCCCCACACTCCCCGTACACCAATTGAATTAGATTTATCTGTTATTCTAAATTTATTTAAATATATAATAATATATGATTCCATTATAACAAATTAATTAATTTATTATTTATAATTTATAAAATTGTCCACAGTGATTTTTTGTCTGTTTGTTCTTCTAATGGCTTCACTTTCCTTGAACGGTTATCATCGGCCGATCTGTGCTGCAACAGCCAGCTTCCAACATATTTGGGTTCCATATACTAAGAGGTGGCCCATTTATATTTATAAACATAAGATTTGATATATTTTTTATTGTCAATTTAGATCTTAGATCAGAACATATAATATTCATTAAACTGAATCCTGAATCGTTCGCATTCTGCAGTAGAAACTAGCAATGTTTTTATTAGTATATGTAATTCCTGTATTTCTTCATTCATTGTTTTGTTATGAATAAAGTTTCTCATTCCTTGAACTAGTACAGATGTATTTAATAAAAATCTATGGCCCAATTGTTGTATTTCATTTTCCCCATATCTTATATCAACATCTATTGGCCATATATTTTTGTTTAAAATTTGAATATTGTTTAATATTATAGTATCATTTTCATTATTGTCGATTAAACGGGAATGTAGATTATTACATACACTTGTTATGAATTGACTTGGGTTAATACAAATTAATTTTTGGTTATTAGTCAAACTGATTGTTTTGAAAACCATAATTATTTGAGCTTCCTTTGCTTCTGAAACATGTTCTCCATCCTTAGTCTTAAAAGATTCTAATACTCTAATGGTCCTTTTAATAAATTGATCTACTTGTAATAATATAATTGTATGACTCTGCAATTGATTAGATAAATAAGACAATTCCTTGAGAATATCACACATAAGTGCCAAATCTAAAACAAATTGCGGACTTCCTAATTTTTTATATAAACCAGTATACTTGGACTGAGTTTTTTTATCTTTAGTTGTGTCATTTCAAGCATTATATAAGTGGTTATATAAAGCTGGAAATATTTTCCAAATCGCTTGAACTGCTGGCCACCCATCTAACATCCAGCACATTGCCAACTTTTAAAAATATCATATCTAGTTCAGTACATATCGTTTTAAGTTCGTTTTGATTTTTTGGTGATCTGTTGTATAAAGCATAAAGACTATCCAAAAACGCTTTAAAATGATTCGTGGCAGTTACATCTTTTACTGAATCATGGACAGCTAACTCTAGTCTGTGGTTCATACAATGCCAACTAAATATCAAAGGATATTTATCTTTAAGGCGTTTGGCTACTCCATTTTTTTTACCTAGGAGAACGCTGGCCCCATCACTGACAAATGGCACCCAGTTTTTTTGAAGATATGTTTCATCAAAGCCACATTTATGAAGGCAGGCTAGTAGTTTATTAACAATATTGACAGCTAATTGATTATCAAGCTCAACAAGATCCAAAAACATAAAAATAGGATCATCATTAGATATTGCAGATTTAATATAAACAACCATGCTTGTCTTTGAAATCAAAGTTGTGGATTCGTCAATAATTACTGACAATTTGGCATTACAATCGATAATGTTCTTAACTAACTGCTCTCTCATTTTAGTAGCAATATGATCTATAATTGGAGTAGCAGAGTATCTAGAATGTAAAATTGATCCTAAAGAAATTCCATTGGCTTTTTGAAGTTCAATTAATTTAAAATGATCGTCAAATGGCCTATTATATTTAGTTATGTAATATGCAGTTCGGAAAATATACTTAGTACTAACATGGTTTTTATGTAACTTCGCCTCAAAATTTTTTACAATTTTTTCAGATTCTTTTTCTTTTTTTATTTCATAAGCATGTTGATGAGCCAATGAGTCAGAATGTTTTTTTACTTTATTTCTTAAGATAGCCAACCTAGTTTGTTTTTTTAGATGGTTGCCTTCATCAACTGTACACATACTCCATTCTTTACTAATTTCAACACCTCTCTTCTTAACTGTCTTTAACGTACCAATTTCTTTGCAATATTCACAGCCAATTTTTTGTTTTGAACAAAATAACCATGGATACCTTGATTTTTTGTCAATCCACTGATCAAAAGTCCACACCACTGGCCATTGATCTTCTATCTATAAACAATTTTTAAATAGGTAATAATAATAAATTTAATATACTGTTAACTATTAACAATTTGTCACTTTTGTTATAAAACTTAGGTATTAATGCAGTGTTCTAAATACTTGTTATTTTTGAAATTATAATAAAACATACAAATTAAATACCTATTAATCTTAACAGTTTATAAAACCATCATTTAGTTTAAAAAATATCTAACAATAAGTGCTATAAAATGTTTCAGTAACTGTAGCTTATGCTGCTAATTTATTGATTATCATATAAACTTTTTTATATACATTCCGTTATAAATATAGTAAATTAATTTCCAAAATATATAAGATAATACAAAATATAAAGTGATTTTTTTACCTGTGTTACACAATTATTGGTAGATTCAGCTTCAGTATTAATTGTATTAACATCATCAGTTTGAATTATTTCAGTCTGTTTACTTGTCAGATCATTAATAATTTGTTTGTTGTCACTTCTAAGGAACTGTAAATAATCATATATAATGTAAATAATAATATTCTATACCTGTATAACGTCCAACTACAAGAATATAATAAAATAACTTACCTCGATACTATTTGGCTTTGCTTTTGCTACTTTTGAAAAGAAATCATTTATGCTTCATTTTTTTACTGTTTGATGCCATATTGCCGTCGTAGTAATATTAATTCAATTTTAAATATTTGTTTTATTAAATTAAATATTTAAATATAATAAATGACAAGCAATAAGCATGTATCATCAATATCTGGTACCTAG